AGAACTGTTGCCAAACTGCACTGTTTGGCTTTATGCCCCCTGCTGGTTGGACAGCAGTGCTCACTAAGTGCTTCCTCTGAACTCTGATCGGGTTCATCTTTACCGTGTGCCAGGGCACTCTGGGTGGTCTGGACATACTGGTGTTTGCTGGGGGAGAGAGGAGAGAAGGATGTGGTTTGGGAAGGGTTTAGCTCAGTCACCCACCTTAGCAGCACTGAGAAAGAGCAATTTCCTGCCTGTCAAATGCCAGCCTCTGTGATTCGGCCAAAAAACTGTCTTCTACCTCTTGTCCCTGAGGTGTCCAGACTGTGTCCATTCAGAGGTGTCGGGACCAAACACGATTGCTAAGCTGACAGGAAAGGGCTGTCAATGGGCCTGGGGAGTCTAAAACTGGTAATAGAAGCTGTGGGTTGTCCAAAAGCCTCCTGCCAGAGAACCACTCCATTCCTGCTGAGTTCTCCCACTCAGGCTCTGATTACTTATTCCTGCAAGAATAATCTGAAAATCTCAGTATAAGGAAAAGCTTTTATTATGGCTCCGAGGCAAGCTGAGCTAGAGTTGAGAATTCAGTATAAGTTAATGGAAATGAGGCCAACTTCATAATACAAGTCACCAATATCCTTTCACACCTTACAAGAAATAAATGTCACACATTGCTGTCCCCTTTTTATGAGAAATCAATTAATTATGAATGATTGGGTAAAACAAAGGGGTTGCGATTTCTACAGAAAGAACATAATTATAATTTTTATACTGGAAAAGAGACTTGAGGACTGTAGCTCTGCTTTGCAAAATTTTATTTAATTTTGAATTATGAAAGCTGATTGAGATATTTAAATGCTTTGATTTGTAAGGGTAAGATTTGTAAAAATTATATTGTCTGTAATTACTAGACACCCTATTCTGACCGTCTTACTGAACAGTCTTACAGTTGTAAGCAGCAAAACATTTGAAAAGAACACAATAAATGTCTCTACTGCAATTCTAACACGGTTATACTTGGGTGCTGGATTGCAAATGCAAAATGTGGCAACATAAAAAACACATTATGCTCATTATAAGAGGTGTTAGATAAATAAGATATACTGTAAATAAGATATATTAATCAATAGCTTCTAAGCCATTTCACTGCAATTAAATGGATATTAAGTGAAATTTCCAGGAGACAGAGAAAAAGAATCATCCCTTGGATGACAAAATTGACCTTGAGTTCGCAATATTTTTTTCATTTTGCATCATCAGACATTATAATGGACTGAAGGTCACTTAGTGTATTAAAAGGTTGGGTGCCTGGATTCCCACTGGATTCTCTCCCCTTCAGTCAATATTTGTATATAAAGAGAATAAACCTAGATTACAAAAGCCATGATTCTTCCCCAGATTTTTGGCATTCCATTTAAAAAATATAAAATTAGATTCTGTCCTTTTTGTTTTTTGCAAAGATGGAAACATTTTTTCCATGACTGAATTCTGTGGAGTGTTTTGGTGTGACATGCAGTACTTTCTAGGTGTACTGTATTAAATTACATGGAATTAAAGATATTAACTCTTAATTCCTTTTTACATACGCAAAGAATTCTCTTAGTTTAAAATGATTATTGTCCTTACAGCACAGAGTTTATGTAAACAAAGAGCAACATCTAGAATTCATTTTGTACAATACAAAATAACTTTGTAACAACACTATCTGTGCCAGCAAGGAATTAAAACAGTGTATTTTTTTACCAAGCTTATTTGTATTCACTCAAAATGTACACCATGTGTCAAGAAGGAAAGACACACTAACTGGATGTTTCTAAGAACAGCAAGTTCTAGTTTTGATAGCATTAGCACACACAGTGTGTGCCAAGGTCTGAGTGTGTTAGAGTCTTCACTGTGTGTGTGTCTGTATCCCTGAGTGTGTGATTGACGGGGGTTAAATCTCTCTCTGCATTAACACAAGTGGCGTGTTTTGTCATCAGGCCGCTGCTCTGCCAAAACTCATTTGGTCAAACGTGAAATTTATTACAGATGTTCTGTTCTGGTAATAAAAACAGGTTGAGCCTGACTGCCAGAAACTCTAAACAAAGCCCCCTCCTTGGCGTTCTGTTCTGCTGGAGACACAGAATTAGGTTGTTCCACTTGCAGACAAATTCACAGGCCTGCATCCCGGCAATCTTAAAGGACCAGAGCACTAACCTGTGTTGCAAGCCCTGAGAGCAGGCCAGAGAGAAAGCAGAATTCGAAGCATTTTAGTACTCCTGTCGGTGCTGATACATAGTAATTGACAGCTCGCAATGGTAAAACAAGCTGCTATTTCATTCATATTACCTGAGAAAGGATCCATTGCAGTTTGCAGTTCATATGAAAAACTAGTAGTCAGGAACTGACCGGCAGGTACTGGCTTGGCGACCTCTTTATTAGACTAGGGCTCCTTTGCTGACCTTTTACTCTGGAAGTAAAGCTCTGTGCACCACTTAAATGCACCGCACAAAAGCTGCCTTTCACACCTGGCAAAACTGGTGTTAGACTTCCATGGTCATGAGGCAGATGAAAGCCCATGCTATAGGCAGCTGAGCATCTTTTGCAAATTGCCACCCCTAATTAACCCTGAGAGACATGAATTACATTTAGGCACATTATGGTATTCAAAGTGCTTTTTATGCAATTGAGAAATGAAAATCCTTGCGTAGGTCTTACAGAAAACTCCTTTCACTATATGTCTTTTTCAGTAGGAATAAAGTAAATATTGCTCATGTCTTATGCAATTTATCTCTTAAGGAAGCATAAAGATTCAGATATTACGTTTTTTGTAATTTTGATTATAGTTACATTTTAAATTTCCATAAATACCTCAAACTAGAAATGCTATAGTCTGTGTTTAAGACCAAAATCTCATGGGAACATACATAGTGTTATTTACATTTCAAATAATGAGCAGATACATTTCATAATTGTTTGAGTAGCATTGTTCCTTGGGACAACAAGATACAGAGTTCAAATAATGTGATTTCATACAACAGTGGCTGCAGTAGGAGGAATTCCAGAAGAAATAGGCTGCGCATGTAGCTTGCCATCATAGATACTGTAGCATGTTGATACAGTAGCTTAAAAATGAGATCACCATCTTCCCTGTCTTAGCCAACATTTGAGTTGCTGGAGTATTTTCAATAACAAATGCCATCATGCTCATGACAGAGGGTGACATATGGAGGGAATTATGCTGGCTGTTGTGTTGTTTAAGTTCCAGTCAGTTTGGAACTTGAGTCATGAACTTGGATGGTGGGAGTATGGTGATAAGGTGAACAATCTCTAGCTATTGAATAGCTAAGAATAGCTATTGTGCAGATAGAAGACAACCTTATAGCTCCTCCAATATATTGATGAAGGTCTGGAGCCAACAGTTTTTCCTATCCTACAAGATAATCTAGAAGTCATAATTTTCCAAGAGGGCAATGCAAAACCCAACTGTCCTATGCTTACAATGACATGACTTCAGGAAAACAATGTTGACATCATGCATGGTCAAATTGCTACTACTATCAACAGGAGACGTCAATGACTGGATGTACAGTAGGTGTACAGGAAGAGTGATCGAACATCTAACATCAGTCTGTTTGGAGGCTGATTAGGTCTATGCAGCAATTCTGCCAGGATTGTGTTAATGCTCAGCATGTGGCATGTTTCATACTGAAGATTTATTATGATACTTTGGTTTCTATTTTTATTTCCACTTTCTGAGATTTTATCTTTGGTTGTGAATTCATTTGACCAGAGAGTTTTAGTATTAGTACAAAGAACAAGCTATCCCACTGTGAAACATAATTCCCTTTTAAACAATATGAATTCAATAATTGTTATTAACATGCTATAGAACAGATTATGTGCAGAATACTGTAAAACAAAGTTTGTGTTTAAGCACATTATAATCTACTTGGACATAGCTTGTTAAAATAATATATTTGGAAAATGGTTTATTCTTGTTTTTAGAGAATGAAGTGTGCAGATTAAAATATATTTGTATCTTTCAAACCACACAGACCTTAGAAGAATTTGACCAATGTGACCGTTTGTGAGGACGCTATTATGTTACAGCTGCTTGTTATGTCAATGTTTTGTCGTTTTGGGGGCTGCAGGTTGTTGGGGGGCTGTTAAATGGTTAAATGGGTACGACACAGAGCTCGCACCGTGGAACCACACTGATTTATAAGAGCCTGTCTTTGCTGACAGGATCAGAGGAAATGATTCGACTCAATGAGCACCTCAACAGCCTGTGATTTACTGGATATCATTTCCATTCTAGTAAAGTCAATCTTTCTGGAAGGTCACGGGCCGGCCTTTTTACATTAGCGTCTTTTAATCCCCATCACTCAGTGCTGGCCAGCGCCACGCTCTCGTTAATAATGGATAGACCGCACTCCCCAGGTTCTTTTTCTCCTCTTTTTGAAATTATTCTTTTTTCACTTTTTTTTCCCTTCTTCCCCTCCATAAATGTTCAGTGGGAAAACGTTGCAGTGGGGTTAGTGGGCGACAGATAACAATGTCCTAACCATGCCAACAGCAGATTGGCTGAAGGCTAAAGCTACATTTTTTTCCCCCAAAACGGTTATTGTGAGTCAAACACACCTGAAGGTTTTGGAAGCGTTTCAAAATACAGGTGCATTATCCTAATTTGTAGTTCAGCCATAACGTTACACCAGTTCCATGCACTTATCTTAAAAGCTGATGTGAATGCCTGTGTTATGTCTCACCTTGTCATTCATGATTTTAATTTAACTTCTCTGCTTTTTGCTGAGCTCAATAGCTTCACACCAGAGTCCCCTAGCATGTGAGAATGTGGGGCATCGCACCCAATGTGACATGATTACAAGAAGGTTAATTAGTCTAAGAGCTGGTCCTTTTCTAGTGCTGATGTTTTCATCTTTTTTTTTTCTTGCAGTAATTGCATAATAATAGATGCAATCTTTACATCTTGTAATGTGTGAAACTCAAATTGTAATGATGAATTAATTTTTTTGCAGCTTTTATTAACCGTGTCTGGGATGGAACTGGAGCACCAGTCTGGAAAACAACAATAAAAACATTGAGGGCGAGCTAAGAAGACAGGTAATCTTTTAATCTCCCTGCCATCTCATCACTCTCTCCCTCTATTCTTTGCTAACACATTTCATATTCTAATCATTTCCCATTTCTCCTACAAGGTAATGGTTTTCCATTGCAGATGAAATCCCCATCAAACTCAAGAAAATTCTGGTAAGATTATTGAATTTTGACGTTTCCTAGAATTTGAAGGCACAATTCTTTCCTCCACCTCTTTCTTTTTTTTTGCTCATTCTTCCCCGAAGGTTACTGCTAAACGTGCATCATTCAGCGAAAAACAAAAGGCACCAAAATTGATTCTGTTATCAGGAGCTGCACAACTAGGGCCTTTGATCAGGAATGAAAAGCTGCTGTAATGTCAGAATTGTGCAAAAGCAGCTTTTTCAGAGTTTTACAACAATTACAACATAGTAGGGTCAAAACTAAAGTTTTTTTTTCTCTCTTGTATTAGGGTTAGACCCTTCAATAATGGGAATTATGGTTATTCTTTACTTTTGTTTCTCCTGCCTCTCTTCAATTATTGTAAAATATTTTCCCTGTATAATATTAATTGTTCTAAATGCATTCAAGGCAGTTCCAGTGTTCTATGGTGGGGTAGTTTCAACGTTTTATGTACCAGTTATTAAATGGACTGCAGAAAGTTGTGGATTATGAGGTGAACATGCAGCAAAACAAACTGAGCCCTCTTGGAAAGAATGAAATGACGCAGAGTTATTTAATGAGTTAGTGTCATCCCTCAGTTAAGGAACATCTGCTCAAATTCTCACCATTTGCCTTTAATGGCCAAATGTTAAGCAAGCTGACATAGCCTGTCAGGTCAGACAGAGTCTACATCCTACAGAGAATCTGTACAACATCTGATTGGTGCAAATTAAATATCCTTAATCTAAAACACTTGATCAAATCTATTAAGATTTTTTACTTCCTCCCAGACATGAAAAATTAAATGAGCCTCCTTTCTGATGCCAAAAAGTATTTGTTTTAGCAGGTGCAACTTCCAACTTGCGGTAGAAATTCACTGAGAAGTGTTAATATTCACTAAGCAAAACAAAGGTGTTGTGATGTCTTTGAGAGTGTATTCATTTCTCAGGAGAAGGACATGCAAAAGTAACAGCAAATACTGGTTATAGTTTTTATGCAACGCAAGTAAAGCATGTGTCACTTTTGAAACGGACAGTGGATGGAGATGCATTTTTTGCTCTATGACCACGATCATGATTCTCTCTTCCCATTATATAAAAATCCAGTTCAGCTTTCTTTTCACACTTTGGTCACCAAAAGAGAAAATGGGAAATTATCTGTATCAGTTAGGAAAGCAAAAGAAGTAGAACTCAGATCACACAATTTTCCCCTCACAAACTGGCCACGGGTGATCATCAGCAGTCGGTGTGTTGAGCTATCTTTTCAGCAGTCTGCAGAGGCTCTGACTGGGGCTGTTTTAGATTAAGTGCTTGCTGTAATTGGCTGCATAGTACTTAAGGCAAACAGCTTTTAATAAGCAATAGAGGCTGGAGCGAAACTGACAATAACGGCCGCCCTACATCAATTATTGGATACATATCCATCACAGCCTGACTTATATGTGACCCCCAGCACCTGGCAGCTGAAATATTGACCGGTCACCGTTTTGTAGCGCAAGTGACATGTTCTATTTTCAATCACATTTATTAGGGGCTGTTAAAATGACTGAAGGTGCTGTGGGATTTCATTTTCACTATAGTTTTATTAATTTTAAAAAAGTTCCGATCCATATAAAGATTAGCTAGATGAAAATAATGCTGCCTTTTTACAGGTGAACAAAATATGACAGTTTGTTTAATCATGGAGTTTGTTAATTGTGAACCCAGTTCTGCCACACATCTGCATTATACTGAACCAAAACGTATTTTTCCAATTCAGTAAGGTATTGGTGTTCAACATTTAGCTATGTAGTTAAGAAATTGCTTTCACCTGTTGTACACAGTGTGTTAAATCTACAAAGCCTACTGCATCTACAAAAAACAAGAACTCAAAGGTGAGAAAATGTTTTTTTCCTGTTACTTTTTTACAGCAATGTAGTGTTTACAAGCTAGCGCATCCACTTTGGCACAAGAATAGATTGGAGAGGGGGGGATCAACAAGAAACCTTTTCATAATATTAAAACGAGAAACGAAAAGGCAAAAGCAATGCAGTCATCCCTGTGATCTTCTCCTTGAATTATGCAAACCTTAATTGGCTTCCATGCTGCTTAAAGCAAACAGTTTAAATAAGTAAAAGGCACTTGGATGAGAAAGCCAGTGTGCAATTATTGGAACTGCATCCATCAGGCAACAGAGTGATGGGCAGCCCACTGGTACCATATACATTATCTAATGACCACTCGCTTAATTATACTCAGGCTGACATGTTTATAAGGGTGAACTTTGCAGTACTATTAGCAGCCAGACAGCTGAACTATTGTGCTACCCTGAGGGCAGACTTGTCCCTTCAGCTTCAGTCCTCCATAGACCTATTATATGCTAATTATTGCGATTTTTAACTAGGTTACAAGGAGTTAATTTAGTGGGCTATTAAGGAGGTCTATATTTCTCCCCTGCAAAGACTCATGGGATTTGAAGTTGCAGAGCAGACCCCCTCAAAATGTTCATGTGTTTTATTTTTTTAGGAGTTCTGGGAAGAAAAACTGCAGTGGTACAGTTCTTCATTAAAAATGTGTGCTTTAAATTTCGTGGACATCTAGTACTTAGGCCTGAACTGCATGTGTCACTTCTCAATTGTTCACTGATGGCTGAGATTTTCACCTACTAATAAAGATGAGTTTTACTCTGACATTTTGGAAGAAGTTGATATCCGACTCTTAAAGACATTTCATTAGGTTTGGAACCTGTAATGTCACTGCGATCGTGTTCCTTCCCACTTCTCTTAAAAAGAAATATCGCAAATGTGGATTGGATTCACAATCCAATTGCGATGGGCATCCTTTCCACGGGAAATCCATGTCTGGGGCTGTCTCTCCAGACTCTAGATCTGAAATCAGAAGCACTTGAAGAGATTTATCGCTGACATTTATGAGTGCATGTGAGTAAGTAGCAGATTGGCAGGGAAAGGACTGAGTGATATAGGCAGACTATCAATGTGACAGAAGTCAACTACTCCCATTGCACAATACCAAAGGGCATGTTTAATAGCTGTCATTTGATTTATGCTGTGTTACATATAACTTTTATTTAGGAGCTCTTTGTTGAAACCTTTTCTTTTTTCAGAATTTATGAACATATTAAAGGGATTAATTTAGTATTATTCAAAGGTTAGTTACATTTTATTACCTCAATATGTGCTACTAATAAGGGTCATGTCAGATTCTGTAAAATCTTTTGCAAGTTGAATTTAACTAATCACTTTGTTTTTACCCATCTGCCCAGTCAGCATTTTTAATACAGTTTACAGGAGGTTACTAGGATGAATTAAACCAGATTGGTCTTGGGAGATCCTTGCCTGCTTTAGCTATCTATCATAAGACAATCAGTACAATCTTATGCTACAGTAAAACTTTATAAAGGATAAACATCTTAAAATATTAAATAGCTATGGCGAAGTCCTAAGCCTATTCCTGAAACAGGTGGTCTCAGATTGCAGAATGTCTTGATTATAGATTTGCAATCTTACATCACTTTACTAATAATGAACCTCTTGTGGAGCCATTGATGCATTCACAGTTAAATTAGTGTTGAATGTGACTGCCAATATCACATTACTTCGTTTTTAATTTTGTGTAATTGCAATTTGTTCAGTTTTCTTTATGCAATACCCACAGTACAAACCCCTCATGTTAATTTATATACAACTATGACAAATAAATAATGACAAATACACTATAGTGGTGGTATGCTATGTGCTCAAATTCTATATACTAATGTAAATTTTCAAAATATTATTAATAAAGACTTATTTAAATGTTGTTGTTTTTTTCTCCGTTGTAAACTCAGGTCATGCATTGCTTTGAGTTCCTGTGATGGGGAATCTTTCCTTCAGTGAATGAATTACTATAGGCATTATCAAGGTATAAATGTCCATTTCTGTGAGATCTCTCCAGAAAGATACCTCTGTGAAACTAAAGATACTATGCTGTTTGGTAGCAAGGAGGGAATTTATGATAACACTTAAAGAAAGGAATCAATAAGTGATAATGTCTGCAGAATTGAAGTAGTCACCATTTTAGTCCATAAGGCAACAGTGTTTTGACAAAACATTCTGAGTGAGAAAATGTTTTAAGAATAATTGTTTTAAGAAAAAAACAAAGAACACCCAGCTGAATATTTTTATAAATACCACCCAACAGACAGAACAGAACAGGGTTCCTATTAAATAAGACTTTTTCTGTGTACAGCCACAATATTCTTTCAGTGTTATTGTATTTCTGTGGATATCAAAAGCAGAAACAAAGGTGTAAAAATCATCTAGTTTTTTAAAGTGATGCTAAATTTACATAGTTTTGAAACAAGCATACAAACCAAAAACGAGCTACCATTTACTATTGACTTCTGGTTGTAAAGGGATAGCTTTTCACTTTCGTAAAATAGTGCCAGGTTGTCCATTTCAAAGGGGAAAGCTCCATTTCCTCTTTCTTTTGAGTCTGTTTAAAAAATGTTTATTATTTCTCTCTATCACTTATATTCAGAACAACAACATCTCTCAGCTTATTGTTATTCCTTATTCGCATGTATATGTGAGATGGAGACTGCTCTAATATTGTGCTTTTTCTGAGCTCTGGACAGATAAACCCATTCCATGCGTAATGAAATAAACAGGGACTTAAAGATAAAGAATCATCTGGAAGGACTCAAAAATTCAAAAAACACCATTTTATCACACATGGAAAAAATGTATGTAGTACAACTGCCGTCTTGCCCCTTGTGTGACCTCTGACTCCTAGCCATTCAGGAGCCATTTGTCTGTGTAGCATTGTGGGGATAAGGGGATACTTTTAACCTAACCATGCCTCCCTCCAACCCCCCTTCATCAACACGCCCCCCCCCCTCTTCAATTCACCTTGCCTGTAATCCCCTCCCAATCAATAGTAACTGCTCTCTCAATAATTCATAACGTTAACATGCGCTCAATGGCCCTGTAGATGGATGGGGAAGACATAGGAGGGCCATCATTCCTGTATTGA